CCCCAAAACCCCAAAACCCCAAAACCCCAAAACCCCAAAACCCCATTTAGTCATTTTAAGATTGAAATTTAAAATTTGAATAGATCATTACTATGATACGTTCCTGATATATTGCATTAAACTCTGTGCTGATGCTGATTCATCAAACTCACTGTCGTCATTTTTGAAAGTAGCATCATCAAGGGAGAACTTGCTAGACTCTGCAATTGATGCAGATGGAGTTTGGGATTGTTGCCCACTACCAACATCAGTCTTCTCCATTTTCTGGACAAGAGCCTTAAGGAGAGAATTTGGAATCTTATCTTTACTTTGATCATGCTGATTGATCTCTTCCCTCGACTGATCCTCTTCGAGAGAGATATCATCAACATTAACGTGAGAATCACCCAAATACTTATTCCACTCAGAGGAGAACTTAGATATAAAACTATTGATCCATCCAGTCTCTGCTGAATCACTATCATTTCCAGCATTATTTGCTTCATCTCGAGCTAGGGATGCCAATCCAGAATCTTGGGTAATCGAAGCAGCTATCTCAGCAAATTTGAGAGTAGTACTGGCTCTATAAGCGTTCCTTTCCCTTTCAGAGCCGACTTGGCTATTTTGGAGTTCGGAATTGAAGCTTTTGATAAATTTAGGAATCAAAGGACCGACCGGAGTCTTAGGGTTATTTGCAACAAGGTTAATAAACACAGCGAAAGCTAATGGAAAGTTCTCGGATTGTCAAGGTGCTGCAAGAGGAAGTGCTTTAAGAACATGAATGAAGATCCTTGAATGGCTAGGGCTAAACATCTGCTCATATTTAAGCATTTTAATCACTCAGTCAATGAGAAGGTCAGATATTTCTTCATTCATTTCATCTGGGGAGTCTTCTATAACTCTGATTATTGGGTTTAGTAGTGTGTTAAAATCTTTATCTGTAAAACTCATTGCTTTCCCTGAAATTGTGTGAAGTTCTTCTGTCTTGTTAAGCTCAGTAGCACTGTCGTAGAGAACAGACACAGCAGTTTGGATAAGTCTGATAAAATTTACTGAGCCCTGAATCTGGTCCTTCTTGATATTTGAAGGATTGGACCCTTCAAAAATTTCTTCATAAATTTCGTTCTCTTCTCCATATCTGATTAGGGCATGAGTAGCTTTGAATCTGTTCCTAGCACTTGGAATTTCATGTGTTTCTTCTTGATCATTTGGAGAATATCTGAACATAAGGTTATCCATATAACTTCCAAAGGCATTAACTACGTAGTCATAGTTATCTTCTTTCCCAACCATTGGCTCAACTTGACAAAGATTCATGAACACTTTGAATATTTCAGGACTCCCTATCGCATAAGCATGAGATTCTGGTCTGAGAGGATAGAGCTCAAATAGTATTTTTGTAATTGAAACTAACTCCTCCTCTGTAAGACTTCTTCCATTTGTGTTCTCTAAGAGAGGTTCAGTTCTTTCGATTATAATTTGGTACAAATAGTTCAAGATTTGCGTGAGAGTATCGTTCTGAACAATAGCTTCATCACCATTTCGTTTAGCAGTGGTGTTTATGATTATACTACTGATGTATTTAGGAGACTTCCACTTTTCATCCTCAAAGTTTTGCATGAGAAGAGAGATAAATTCCTTCTTTTCCTTACCCAATGGCTCAACTTTAGTAGCTATTGAATTTAGAATCTCCAGGGTTGAGTTTACTAAAATTTCTTCTTCACTTGTCATGTCTGGAACTGGCTCACTTCTGGATATATTCTGGTTTTCAATGTTATCTTTATTAGATTTAGTGACATGAAATACATAATTGACCAAATCAGTTTGTCTCTTTTCAACAGCTTCAAAGGAAGAGTAAAGGACAAGTCTTGAGATTGCTTTATTGCAAGATATTAAAACACTTTGAGTAGAATTTGTGAACCTCTTGCACCTATCCAATAAATTTTCTTCTTCGAATATTCCTTGTTTGTAGACCCTACATGTGTCAAGGTATGCTATCAAGCAGTCGAAAGTTAGTATTATCACATGTTCATACTCGTAATGGTTGTCTAATGAATGAAGGATAACTTCTGTTATATCCGTATCTGCTTGAGAAGCCAGCATATTTTTGGTAATTCCTCCAATTTTCTTATTACACTTATCCATGCAAATCCAAATAATCCCAATAATCAGTGCCTTAATGACCACGTTCTTATTACTATAATACAACCTAACTAGTTCATTTCCAACTTTGCTCCCATCGAGCCCTCGGAGCTCAAGATGGTCTATTACTGGCTTTGCTTTCAAAAACGATTTCTCTCTCACAAACTCAATAGTTTCTTTCCTCCTTGGGTCTTGGACTTCCTGTCCCTTAAGTTCCTTCTTAAACTCCTGTATAGCTTTTGAAAGCCGGAGCTTAAACCGCATTCCTCCTGTTTTGCCACTGCCGCCACAGCACGATCCCATGTTTAGTAATATTATTTTATTTCAGGGCTCAAACACTTTGTTGGGGTTTTGGGGTTTTGGGGTTTTGGGGTTTTGGGG